CCTCCACTTCCTCCAGAGTTTCCTCCACTACCTCCGTTTCCTCCAGAGCTTCCTCCTCCACCTCCACTTCCTCCAGAGTTTCCTCCGCCACCTCCAGAGGTGCCTCCACTACCTCCTCTATTTGTGCTATTGTTTTTTTCTTCGCTGGAATCTGTTATTAAATTATTTCATCTTAATTCCCTAGTATTTTCTTTTCTTATTCACATATTGGTTTCTTTTTTTCTTAAGTACCTTCTGCGTCTCCTTCACTGCTGTTAGAGTTGTTTGCATCTCCACTTCCTCTTGTTCCCCTGTTTCTCTCTTCGCTAGAATCTATTTAAAGAGTTTTTGCTTTGATATGCACTGCTTCTGGAGTAAAAATCATTACCGTTTCTATTGCTTCCTAATTTCCTTGATCACCTCCAAAGATGCCTCCTCGACCCCCAAAGTGGCCTCTGCTACCTCCGAAGTCGTGCCCTCGCCCTCCGAAGTGGCCCCCACCTCTTCCGAAATGGCCCCCACCTCTTCCGAAATGGCCTCCACCTCCTCCGTTGTGGCTTACGTCACCTCCATATTTGCCGCCGCCTCCTCCCCCGTTGTTGTCATTGTTTGTCCTTTCGCCGGAAACTATTCAAAGGAACTCATGCTGTAACATTTCCATTTCTCTTCCCCGAAATACTGCGCGCCTCCTGCGGTCATCTCCACCCCCTGCAGTTACCTCCTCTTCCTCCTCCCCTTTCTTTGTTGCCGTGCTCGCCTCCGCCACCTCCCCGTTGGCCACCTCTTCCTCCCCATTGTCCCCCTCCTCCTCCGTGACCATTCCATCCGTTTCCGTCAAGGGTCCCGTTGTAATCGAAACTCCAGTTATATCCTCCGTTTCCTTGTCGCCAGCTTCCTCCACCAGAATTTTGTTGTGGCTGCTGTTGCGAGGTGCTGGTGGTGGTGATCGTGCCCATCGTCGTGCTCGTGGTCCCCCCTGTTCCCGCTTCGTTCGAATCTAATTAAACGGATATTCTCCAATAAACTGCCCCAGAAACTAACTGATTTGTATTAGTTTCAGCAATATGGCGAATTTTCCGTTCGAAATACGGTCAGTGTTGCCCAATGCGTGGGAATGGAAAATTGATAAGTACGTCCTTTCTCTTCCCTGCCAAATCCTTACGTCTCCCCGTATATTGCATCATTAAAAAGCGATTTAGATGCCAGATGTGAGCAATCGGGCTCCCTGGGAACGATTATTCCTTCCCACGACAATTTCATAGCTCGCGGTTTTTCAAATAAGTGTTCACATGTCACATGGAACGTTTTCATCCCTATATCTTTACACGATTTTAACCCGGGTGACTTCCAATTCGGAACATTTCCTGTCCCAAGACCGGCAGCCCTGTGTTGAAGGGCCGAACCGTTCGATCACGTGACTCATCAAAAGTTGTGCGACAGAAATATATCGGTATCTGTAGGATGGGAACGAGCCCGTCATTTTCTAGAAAGCGGCGGGGTATGGCCGTCCGAGTTCGCAAAACCGACACCGACTCTAAATAAGGAGAAGCAATTGAAGGGCATAGAGGAAAGCTGGTCTATTTGCAAAAATTTCCGAGAAACTGAAATTGGCCAAGTGGCCAATTCGACCAGACATCACTTTTCCTTTCGTCGAAGATTTTACTGTCCTTTGAGAGGTTGGGCTTTATGTTATCGGTGAACTTGGTTCGTCAACGTATGCCAACTTCCCTCGCTTTTAATGACGCCTAGAACTCTGTACCGGAAAGATTGATGCATGATCAACCCTGCGTGCCGCGACTTCGAGCGACATTTCACAACTCTGTGAGAAACATTTCATACGAATTCTGAAAAGAGAGGTGACACATCTTGACTCACCCCCATTTCCTCCCCACCAGCCCCCACCGAGCCCTCCACCGTGTCCCCCACCGTGTCTTCCACCTCCTCCTCCACCGTGCCCTCCACCGTGTCTTCCATCTCCTCCTCCACCGTGTCCCCCACCGTGTCCCCCACCGTATCTTCCACCTCCTCCTCCACCGTGCCCTCCACCTCCTCCTCCACCGAACCCTCCACCCCAGTTTTGGAGGCGCCTGCCCCCTCCCCGTGTTTCTGCTACTCCTCCTCCGCCCATCCCTAACAATGAAAAATTGTTTCAGTCGCTCGAATCTTTCTTGTGGGAGGATCCATCCGAAAGTTCACTCACGAGACGTCTGTTTCTCGGCATCTGAAAGAGAACGAAAGAGAAATCAATCATCTCATATCCTTTGTTATCAGATCGCTCGTGGACCCACTTCATGCCACTGAGAATCCTTAGATTCCATCGCTTTTGAGTTACTACACTCAAATCATTTCTGTTTCGCAACTCGAATGTCATATTTCCGTATTAAAATACAAATGCCCTTGTTCAATATGTCGATAATCGCATGCGTGCTAGCATGACGATCCCTCGCCACCTGGACAATCACGGGTGATTATGAACCTTGAACATTCCCCTCCAGACCTTGCATTCTGGAGCTCAGCCCGGTCACGCAACTCCCTTCAAAATCCAAATGTTTGCCGTTCGAGCTGAGTGAACTGGAAAATTCGACAGTTTGGGGGAAGCGAACAGAGATGTGGATTGCTGCTTGAGCCTCTCCCCTGGACCGCTTTCCCCCTTTCGCTCATTGGCTCTGATGCCCTTTTCCATTGAAGGGATGCATCCGCCTCACACAGTCGAACGCCGAGCCATCCATGGACGTCGACCGGGATCGAACCCTGGCCTCCCGGACGGCGAGCAGGCGCGGTGCCTCTCGGCCACGAGGGGGGAAGAGGGAAGGAGTGAACGTCGTGTCCTGCAGATGTCTCTCGCGTCGAGAGATGTGCCGACCTTGAACGCCATGAAGGCGTTTCTTTCCTTTCTGATCCCATTTATGATCGTTCCGCTTCCGCCTGCGGATCGCCCCAAATAGCCATGGCATTCATCTCGCACGTTGAGCGCCGTCGCTCAATGAATCTGGTTTTAAGTGCGCGCTTCATTCACGCTGCTTCCTGTTCCGGGAATATTGCAGGATATTTATTGTTTTTAATTGTGGCCTCATAAGTTCATTATTTTCACAGCGGGGTTGCCGATAGGCCAGGGCAGCACACAATCGCTGTCATGCCGACATACATACACGGTCCACGAA